CGGCTTTTCTCCGAGAGGAGCACGCGGAATAGCCCCGGTCCGTCTTTTGCCCTGGCGGCGGACGGCAGCAGCAGCGAGAGAAAGAGGAAGAGTAGCAAGGGCGGGGGGGGCGGGGGCGGGGCAAACAGAGGCGGCACCGGGAGAAGGAGCAGAGGGAAGGGGGCCGGCCCCGGGAAGGATTCGGGGAAGAGGGAGCCCGCGGCGAAGGGCAGACCGGAGGCGGCAGCGGAGGCGGCGACCGGGGTCGAGCCCAGATACAGACGGGCGGCTAGCGGCGGCAGCAGCGGCGGCGGCAGCGGGACGTGGTCCAAGATCGGGAGCATAGCCCTGAGCTCCATCCAGCGGGCCGCCGAGGTTATCGTCGGGGGGGCTCCGCCGAAGGACGCGAGCGAGCAGGAGGAGCTGCAGAAGCGCGCGGAGGTGGAGCGAACACGGAACGCCGTGAGCGTTTTCTTGTCGGCTCGCGGCGCCAGCGCAGAAGACCAAGAGTAATGGGGGGGGGGGGGCTTGCGGCGGCGAGGACTGCAGATGATCCCATCTCTTGTGACGGACGGCGGCTCCGTCGCCCGCTTTTTGGGATTAAATTTTGGGGGTTCGGGAGTCAGGGAGGGGCGGGAGGGTTGAAGCCCCGGCCGCCGAAGATTATTTGTTCGCTTAGGGTGATGTAGATTATGTCATGGTCGGTTGTGTCTGGATTGTGCTTCCACCCCCAAGTCGGGACGACCGGCGGTAGTAGTGTTTTCCTTCCGCGGGAAGGGTGGCTGCCGTCGGAGCTCGATGTAGGCCCGGCCGGCTCTTGAGCGGTGGTGGTGGGTCTGTGGCTTGTTAGAGAAGGGCGGACACGGGTATTAACCGTGTCGTGTTTGTTGTGTGGGTGGTTCGGGCGTGGGGGGGATATATATCCGGTTCCGTTTGCTTTTTTATTCATGTATGGAGTAATAGCTCATCTAACAGCAGCAGCAGCAGTCGAAGCGTACTTGGTTCTTCGACGACAAAATATAAATGTTGAAATAAAAACACGCGACAAGGAGTGGCGGTATCAATACATGTATCACGGACGAACGGGACTGTAGGTCGGGGTGAGGAAGCGGTTTGTTTTCCTCTCTGGGGTTGGGGTTGTGACACAGGCTTACAAACAGCGATCAGCACCTTTTTGTTTGTTGTTTTTGCGGTTTTCCAAGAATGTGACTTACTGAAGGCGGATCCCCCCCCCCAAGTCTATTCATACCAACAATCTTCGTAAAGGCGGTTCATTTTTTGTTCCTCCGTTGGTACATCCATCCTTCACTGTCGGTGGGTGGCCTCTGTTCCCGAGGGGAGACTGGCAAGGTACGCCGATGGCAACGAAACGGGTGCTGGCACGAGGTGGCCGTTGTGGTAGCGGAGGGAGTGCCCTGAGGCGGCCGTCCGTGTTGTTCTAAACCTTTAGGGTCGTCCTCGGTTCAATCGGTAATAATATATTATTGTCACCTCGCACTAGCTAAGTCCTCTTGTTCATCCACTGGGCGCGTCGTACGAGCGAAGCGAGCCTCTCCTTTGTAAATCTTGAGCAGGTCTTTGGAAGCTCTGTGGTAGTAATAGCAGCCTTTTTCTCTTTTTTTTTTTTGTCGGTATGGGGGCGGAAAAATCATGTTTCAAGCGATGTCTTTTTTATCATGTGGGTATTAAAGTCCACCCCGTCACCGACCGCCCCAAGGCTTATTTGCCGAGCAGAGGCGGTAGTGGTGGTGGTGGTGTTTCGAGCAGCTTCAATGCAACAACAGCTTGTTTGCTTGCGCTCGCTTGCACGAGTTGGCCACGCGGCGGTCTTCTCCTTTGCTTTGTTGTCGTTCTTCTATTAGTTGAACGGCTGTAATGTTCTCCCCACCGAACCTTATGTATGTGTGAGCGTGCGTGCGTTTGTGTGTGTTTGTTTGTGTGTCTCTTTTCCTGTGTGTGTATTTCTTCTCTGAAAAATAGCATGTCTCGGAGGGCCTTTTGCCAGTGATTAAGGGGGGTCCGCGAAGGAGATGAGTGCGGCGGTTAGGGTACGGCGTGAATCTCGTGCGTGGGTGGGGGTGCTGGGGCACAGCAGTAGTAGTAGGAGCAGGCAGGCTTGCTTGATGGTAGGGGGGGGGGGGGGGGGGGGCTTTCCCTTTTTTTTTTTAAAAACCCCCCTTCCGCCCGAATTTTTTTTAAAATCCCCTTTTTTTTTTTGGAACCCCCCGA